TCCTTCGTGAGTTGAGCACTTTCACTAGTCACCTGATATTTGTCAATTGAATAGTTTCACAAATGTGTTGCAATAGGGTTGCAAAGTCTTCACATGGGTTTCTTGCCTCTCTCTCTCTCTCTTCTTTTTTGCATTGCTTATAGAGGTTAGAATCCTGGCATCACAAGCCAGTCCTTCACTTTCTCATGTTCCTACAACCGGACTAGTTGCCATATGCACATGTTTCCTGGCCAGTGTCGGTAAGGACGTGTGTGTGTGTATGTGTGTACGTGTGTGTGTGTGTGTGTACGTGTGTGTACGTGTGTGTATGTGTGTGTGTGTGTGTGTGTACGTGCATGTATGCGTGTGTGCATGTGTGTGCATGTGTGTGTATGTGTATGTGTGTGTCAGTGCGTCAGTGTGTCTGTGTGTGTATGTGTTTGTGTGTGTATGTGTGTGTGTGTGTGTGTGTGTGTGTACGTGCATGTGTGTGTGTTTGTCTGAGTGTGTGTGTGTGTGCGCACGCATGTGCGTGTGTGTATGTAATCTCATGCACACACACACGATCGCATGATTTCATGCGTAAATGCACCAGTTGTGAACACAGCTTAAACCCCACCGCACGCTTGCTTTTAGCCGATAAAGTAACGTATTTTGCATAGCGGCATAGATTGCGTAGATGACGGCCCTATGCCTACGGACCGCAGTTACCGCATCCTGAACAAGTTCGGGCATGATCACGTCTTCTCTCCTGGCGACTGGATGCCTGTCAGCAGTCTCTTGCTGTCGACGCTTCTTTTCACGAAGTCGGCGAGTCTCCAAACGACGGGATATTTGCTCCGTTGTTACTTGTTTTGTGGCGTAGCCTTTCACATGCACGGCGACTCTCGAGGCGGCGGGACCTCTCTTCTCCCATCTTCTACTCTCTGCGTAGGCACTCCTGCCGACGCCATCTGCCCAGAGCTTCAACAATGTCACCCCTGTCATTTTGCTCTTCGTCATATTCCTCTGTTAACCCTTTGTGTACGGACTGTACAACTTTCGATCCCCTGGGATCGAAACTTTTCAAATTTTCAATCAATCGTAACTCAGTCATTTCTGGGTTATTTCCAAAACCTAATTATGTAGGTCGAAGAGAAAACTCCCAGCTGTCCATTGAAACAATCGCAGAAACACTCTGATGTGCGGTTCCAGAGTTACGAAGCTTGACAGTCAAATCGCGGCAATTGTCGCTCAATAGCCGCGTGCGCAGATTTGAATAAGGGATTTTCCCATCTTTCTGGGCATCCAGTGACGTAGAAACATATTCAAAATGGCAAACGGACTCGTGGCAGATTGTGAAATTTTTTTGGAAGTAAAAATTAGTTGTTACAAGCAAGGAGAGCGAAATGGCTGATACAAGACGACTTCTGTCGGAATATTGGCGTTGCAACTAAGACGCTGGGCTGTAGCGCTGGAGTTTTGACCTTCGTGGTGGCAAGTGTGGGCTCAATGTGTTTCTCTTGCGACGAGCTTTCCAGGAAGCTCAACATTGAAAAAATCGTCAAAAGGAGACCAAAGTTATGATCCGGAGAATTATGAAATTTGAGGCGAGTCGAGATCAAATTCAGTCTGCGTACATTTTTTTCAGTACATAAAGGGTTAATGATCTCAGCATTCCATTTATACAACAACCATGCCGATTAAAACACTGCAATCCACCCGTTGCTTCCATTCCCGGCCCATTAGCAACACACCCAAAAACATTTGAACGATAATGCAATAATACGACACCGTATCCTTGTTGACCTAGGCAAAAAAGCATAGCGATGTTACATTTTGTTCATTTCTCCAATTTTTCAAGACATAACATGGGATCTGAACCTGCAATATCGCCCAGCATGCATCCCCCCTTATACACTTCACATACATACATATTCTTCCAAGTTGCTTCACGTCATGATCTTACAGTTGAAAGCCCTATTTGAATAACGTGGTAACGTGGTACGTGGTACGGTACGGGACATGTACGGGATAGCGCCATGCATGCCCAACGATGCAACAAACAATTACCAGATTAAAGCTGTGTGGACCCTGGCTAGTGCCAGACGTTACTCAAGTAACGTCTTTTGTAGGGGTGAAATAATTATACTGAATATTCGGATATTCGTTTGGACTTCAAGTACAGTCAACTTTGCGTATAACGACATTCGGCGGGGCATCAGAAAAGTGTCCTTATTCGCGAAGAGTTAGTGTCGTTATACCCGAAGTCTCATTATATGTATTACAGTTGGAATGGACTTTGCTCTGGGCATGGACATTCTGTCGTTATTCGCGAATTGTCGTTATATCCGCAGTCATTGTTAGCCAAGTTGACTGTATAATCGTACTGGGAATAGATCAGAGTACTCGCTCATATACGCTACATGCATTTAACACAGAAGCCTGCAGTTTCAGAGCAACAGTCAGCAGATATTGATGCGCAGACTGTGTGGTGACCATTTGTACACGAGTAGAGAGAGCCTAAATGACCCACTGACCAATATACCCGAGAAAAGAACTGCCAATTGGTTCAATCAGGGTTATATCATGTGACTTTAAGGCTCTTGGTATGCGATTTTCAGGATATCAAGAATACTCGAAGATTCGTAACAATGGAAATTGTGGGCACAAGTTATGCGATCGAGTCCACCAACTGAACTAGAAATGTGCACGTCTGACTGTTCAAAATCTGGTTTAGTTGGTGGACTCAATCGCATAACTTATGTCAACAATTCCATGTTACAAAGAGTTCTTAAAATACTCGACTATTCGATCGGAGAAAATCAGAATACTCAAACTCGGGATTTCAGTTCCAACTTTCACCCCTAGACTTTTGCATAGCTACGGGTATAATGGTACTGCACTACTACCACTGCCACTGAACCACTCTTTATACATGTTTATGTTGATGCGCGTATGTTTGGACGCACGGACACACACACACACACACACACATGCACGCACGCACGCACACACACACGCATGCACACACACACACGCACACATGTGCACACACACACACACACATCTGCAGGTATGCATTGTGACATGTACAGGAACAACGACACAGAAACCATCACTGGCATTCGTGTGTACGACGAGAAGTCGCGGCTTGTTGCAGATCTTAGCAAGAGCTACAAAAGCTCGGTAAGTCTCCTCAGCCTGGAACAAGTTCCGGCCACAAAGTAAGCCTTGGCTGGTGTGTGTGTGTGTGTGTGGGGGGGGGGTTATTACGGTATTCTGGACACAAAGTAAGCCTTGGGTGGGAGTTTGGAGGTGGGGGGGGGGGGGGTATTACAGTACTATTGTGTTCTGGATACAAAATAAGCCTCGGATGGGAGGTTGGGGGGGGGGGGGGAAGAGGAGGTGGGTGTGTGTGTGTGGGGGGGGGGGGGGATATTACGGTACTAGTATTCTGGATACAAAATAAGCCTTGGATGGGAGGCCCAGTGTTCCGCATTCGTAGGAACTACCCTTCAAGGATCAAGGCGCAGATGCAGCTCCTAAAGCGGTGGGAGGTGAGTAGATCAGCTCACCAGCAACTGGTCAAAGACCGAGAATCCCATTCCCTGTGCAAAGACAAATAACTGTTTAATAGAGTGAGGTATTCATTGTACGTGTACTGCAAGTAGTAAGCAGCAGATGTTGGCCTTTTATCGCTAAACCAATGAGCACTAACACGAGAGGATCGGCCAGAGAGCGCTTTCGCTGGAGGTCACACTCACAGGAGGTGGGATTGCTTTATGGAAGCCTTCATTCCTCTTGTAAACACCTCCATCCACAAACGTGCGCTCAGCCTCACGACAAGAATAAAGTACTGACAGTATTTCGCCAATTTGCCATCATCAGGGAAATGTCAATTTATCCTTGTTTACTGTAAGCCGTGACATTATTGCGATGGTCTAATTTCTGCGAAATTCGCGACCGCGTGGAAATCGCGAAATTTAGTCAGCGCGAAAAGGAGATCCATGAAAGGTTTAGCAAGAATGCCACAGGTTTAGCAAGAATGCCATTCTGCAATCGCAAAATTAAAACCTCGCAAACCTGTCCGGATTCTGAAAACGCGAACTAAAAACGCCGCGAAAAGTTCACGCTTTACAGTACACTGCAAACCCGGAATCGATTGCGCCCGTTTTAGTTTTGCAAACTACAATGACATACAATTTGCGCTTGCAAACTTTTGCGATTGTAGTCAATTTGCTGCTTTATTGTTCCGAGTATCAGTTTAGTTTAGTTTAAACATCTCTTATTATTATTTTTCTCACCCCACACCCCTCTACCCTGTTATCGGCCCTCTTAAGAGTTGTGTTCATCACTGTTGAGGCTTCCGATGGAAAATAAAAAGTAAGAAAAAATAAAATAAGAAGAAATTTGACAATTTGTCTACAGTTTTGCATTTCGTGCCCACTTCCTTTCGCGACTTCACACCCATCGCGAAAATCATGAACGTTTCAGGATCGCTAAGGTTTCAGGGCTTCCAGTATGCTGCTGAGAGCCTGCTCAGGTGTAGATGTGTGTTCAAGTGGATAGAAAACTCTGCAGTGGAGTTGAAGAGTTTTATCATATTGTCTGGAGGGTAATCCACACTGGAGTATAAGCCGCACTCCCATTTTTTTGCCACGAAATACAGCCGTCTGCGCTATTTATCGCCGTTGATTTGATAATCGGAGTATAAGCCGCATCCCTCTTTGCTGTGGGTGAATTTTGAGTGTTTCAAAGTGCGGCTTATAATTCTGGAGAATGTGGTAACTATAATGCACAGTGACTCCATCTCTGCTTTCTTTCTGGTTGTTGTTGTGGTGGCGGCGGCGGCGGCGGCGGTGGTGGTGATGGTGGTGCCATTCAGGATTCCCGGTTCTACTTCCAGCCCGGCATGGTAGATGTGGCCAACATTTATGCTGGCAGGTACCACATTGTCATGGCAACAGCCACTTACCCATTGGGTGAAATCAGTGGCAAGATTGTTGTCAGCCACTTCCGCTTCACCAACGATCATAACAGTAAGCAATACTAGTTTACATATGAAGGGCTCCAATTCAAAACGCGATAAAGACCGAACCGGAGCTTTTGCGTTTTTGTCACCAAAGAAGTTGTTTTCACCCCACGAACGTCTGTGTGTCTGTTTTATGGATCAAAACGTGATACATCCCAGTCAAAATGATGCCTGAAGTTTGTGTTCTTGTGCAAAACGCGATAAAAGTCATTGATGCTGCAGTGTAGACCAGAAAAGAACAAATGAAAAAATGCCCTTCCTGAAACATCCACAAAATGGATTTATCTCGTTTTGAATTGGAGCCCTTCATATAGTGGTGAACGGTTTTGTGGTGAAACGAGCGTATCTATTATAATAATAATACGAAAAGTACCGCCAGAGCGCCCCATCTTGCGAGAGCGCCTCACCTTGATTTTACAGCCAAGGGAAGAAAATCGCATGGCAGAGTGCTACTAAGTTTGTACGGTGTGAGAACCTAAGTGTATGTAAGGTCACAATTGGCATGTTTTTATGTGGAGCTCGCATCTCCTCGAAGGTAAACTGGGTACGAATTGACTCCAACATGTGGAATGTGTGTACAAGGTCCCGGTCGTATGACCTACAGACAGGAAACCACCTCCACAAGACGACCACGAAAGGACGAGATGGTGGGGCGCTCTGGCGGTACTCTACGGTAATAGCAATCATCATAGCCTAGGAGCGGTGGCATGTTATGTTTTGTTATCTTTATGTTTACTTCACCATAGGTACAGGCATTGCTGCCTTCTTGCTGGGGATCGGGAATGATGTCACAGCTCCTAGGCTATGATGAGAAAAATAAAATGGTATGATAGATTAATATGGACTCAGATGGAGAGCCAAGGTTTAATTTTAATATACAAAAGAGAAAGACCAAGGAACTACAAGTTACGCTATACTGTCCACTAATACCACCAGTTACTAAACAATCAGCCCATGCGATAACATTGCACGACACTGACCGACGGCACTGACGTTCTATAGCTAACTGGCTAACAGCTGTAGCACAACTTGGATGCGCACTCCAACAGCCTTCCAACTTGGAAGGTTCTAAGTTATAGAACCAACATAAGGAGGGGAAGGTGAGCGCAATCAAGATAAGCACGAGCTGAAAGTCTCAGCTGTGAAGGACGTTGGTGGACGTTCATGCTTGTCGATGACGATACTGGCAACACCATTGGACAATACGGTCAAACCACGATTCAAGAACGCAAAGCAACAGTGAACAGTGAACACCGGACAGCAGCGTGAGTCAGTGTCGCTCCTGGACGGTGAGACAGACGTCGAGGACACTCGGTCATTCGCTTACAAGTCATCGCCGAAGTCGCAACCACTACTTCGTAGTGAATAATAATAATAATAATAATTGAACTGCCTCTGCTGGGATGACAACTACACCATAGCTCAGTGGTTAGAGCATCGCTGGCTACAAGCGAAGGTCCCTTGTTCGAGTCCTGGTGGTGACAGTCAATTTTTTCTTCAGACTTTTCCCGTTTGTCTCTTTCCCTCAAACCAGTTAATATTTTATGACTTGGGGCTCCCCGCGTGCTAATTTGTACGTGAAGTGTGTGGGCTACAGTGAGGGCTGCTTCCCACCCGCCTGTGTGGATTCACAGGAAGTGTGAGTAACGAAGTCTGAAGAAAATGTTGAACTGCCTCTGCTGGGATGACGACTACACCATAGCTCAGTGGTTAGAGCATCGCTGGCTACAAGCGAAGGTCCCTGGTTCGTGTCCTGGTGGTGACAGTAAATTTTTTCTTCAGACTTTTCCCGTTTGTCTCTTTCCCTCAAACCAGTTAATATGTTATGACTTGGGGCTCCCCGCGTGCTAGTTTGTACGTGAAGTGTGTGGGCTACAGCGAGGGCTGCGTCCCACCCGCCTGTGTGGATTCACAGGAAGTGTGAGTAACGAAGTCTGAAGAAAATGTTGAACTGCCTCTGCTGGGATGACGACTACACCATAGCTCAGTGGTTAGAGCATCGCTGGCTACAAGCGAAGGTCCCTGGTTCGTGTCCTGGTGGTTGTTGTTGTTGTTGTTGTTGACTTTTATTTTACTTCACCAATTGCACAGGCATGATTGCCTTCTTACCGGCCTATAGGTCCGGTTCTCACAGAAAGATGAAGAAAATTATATGAGGAAATGTATAGAGATAAAGACATGCAAGCGGTATGATTATTATTATAGAAATGTTTGTTATGACATTGTGTGTATGCTGACACTCAATTTGTGTGAACTTTTTATAATGTGATAACAAATAAAATGTAGTGGAAGCATTTCATGAGAATATATGTGTGAACATTGGCAGACTTTGTTGGTGGTGACAGTAAATTTTTTCTTCAGACTTTTCCCGTTTGTCTCTTTCCCTCAAACCAGTTAATATTTTATGACTTGGGGCTCCCCGCGTGCTAGTTTGTACGTGAAGTGTGTGGGCTACAGTGAGGGCTGCGTCCCACCCGCCTGTGTGGATTCACAGGAAGTGTGAGTAACGAAGTCTGAAGAAAATGTTGAACTGCCTCTGCTGGGATGACGACTACACCATAGCTCAGTGGTTAGAGCATCGCTGGCTACAAGCGAAGGTCCCTGGTTCGAGTCCTGGTGGTGACAGTCAATTTTTTCTTCAGACTTTTCCCGTTTGTCTCTTTCCCTCAAACCAGTTAATATTTTATGACTTGGGGCTCCCCGCGTGCTAGTTTGTACGTGAAGTGTGTGGGCTACAGTGAGGGCTGCGTCCCACCCGCCTGTGTGGATTCACAGGAAGTGTGAGTAACGAAGTCTGAAGAAAATGTTGAACTGCCTCTGCTGGGATGACGACTACACCATAGCTCAGTGGTGAGAGCATCGCTGGCTACAAGCGAAGGTCCCTGGTTCGAGTCCTGGTGGTGACAGTCAATTTTTTCTTCAGACTTTTCCCGTTTGTCTCTTTCCCTCAAACCAGTTAATATTTTATGACTTGGGGCTCCCCGCGTGCTAGTTTGTACGTGAAGTGTGTGGGCTACAGTGAGGGCTGCGTCCCACCCGCCTGTGTGGATTCACAGGAAGCGTGAGTAACGAAGTCTGAAGAAAATGTTGAACTGCCTCTGCTGGGATGACGACTACACCAAAGCTCAGTGGTGAGAGCATCGCTGGCTACAAGCGAAGGTCCCTGGTTCGAGTCCTGGTGGTGACAGTCAATTTTTTCTTCAGACTTTTCCCGTTTGTCTCTTTCCCTCAAACCAGTTAATATTTTATGACTTGGGGCTCCCCGCGTGCTAGTTTGTACGTGAAATGTGTGGGCTACAGTGAGGGCTGCGTCCCACCCGCCTGTGTGGATTCACAGGAAGTGTGAGTAACGAAGTCTGAATAAAATGTTGAACTGCCTCTGCTGGGATGACGACTACACCATAGCTGAGTGGTGAGAGCATCGCTGGCTACAAGCGAAGGTCCCTGGTTCGAGTCCTGGTGGTGACAGTCAAGTTTTTCTTCAGACTTTTCCCGTTTGTCTCTTTCCCTCAAACCAGTTAATATTTTATGACTTGGGGCTCCCCGCATGCTAGTTTGTACGTGAAGTGTGTGAGCTACAGTGAGGGCTGCGTCCCACCCGCCTGTGTGGATTCACAGGAAGTGTGAGTAACGAAGTCTGAAGAAAATGTTGAACTGCCTCTGCTGGGATGACGACTACACCATAGCTCAGTGGTGAGAGCATCGCTGGCTACAAGCGAAGGTCCCTGGTTCGAGTCCTGGTGGTGACAGTCAATTTTTTCTTCAGACTTTTCCCGTTTGTCTCTTTCCCTCAAACCAGTTAATATTTTATGACTTGGGGCTCCCCGCGTGCTAGTTTGTACGTGAAATGTGTGGGCTACAGTGAGGGCTGCGTCCCACCCGCCTGTGTGGATTCACAGGAAGTGTGAGTAACGAAGTCTGAAGAAAATGTTGAACTGCCTCTGCTGGGATGACGACTACACCATAGCTCAGTGGTTAGAGCATCGCTGGCTACAAGCGAAGGTCCCTGGTTCGAGTCCTGGTGGTGACCGTCAATTTTTTCTTCAGACTTTTCCCGTTTGTCTCTTTCCCTCAAACCAGTTAATATTTTTTGACTTGGGGCTCCCCGCGTGCTAGTTTGTACGTGAAGTGTGTGGGCTACAGTGAGGGCTGCGTCCCACCCGCCTGTGTGGATTCACAGGAAGTGTGAGTAACGAAGTCTGAATAAAATGTTGAACTGCCTCTGCTGGGATGACGACTACACCATAGCTGAGTGGTGAGAGCATCGCTGGCTACAAGCGAAGGTCCCTGGTTCGCCTAGTTGTTGCACTTTCTGACTGTATATAGTATCTAGGTACAGTGGTGGAGAGTTACTCTTAACTCGTTTCCATATGTCCTTTTCCTTTCTACTTTTAATAATAATAATAATAATAATAATAATTTGAAACTCGGCTTGTACAATTCGTTTTCGCAAAGCTTCCCTTTCTTTACTTATCTTGGATATTTATGACCCACCCAAGTTGGCTGGTGTGCTGCTTTGCTGCTTCGAATTGTAGTTAGACCGCTTTGTCAAGTACCGTACTGGTCTCGTCATCGTCCAGTAACAATCGACATTCTTTGTTCCGTTGGGACTGTAGCTATTGCTCGTTTTCGTTGCGCTTGCCTTCCCCTCTTTGTTCTTTCCATAACCTTGAACCTTCCAAGTTGGAAGGCTGTCGGTTAGCTCTACGGAGATGTGTTGAAGTTAGGTGTCAGGACGTCGAATGTCTCAGTACTCTGTCAGTTTTGTGCCTAGTTATTGCACTTTCTGACTGTATATATGTAGGACTCAGTGAGCAGTCACGTCTCGATGACCGATCACGATCCCCGTGACCAATCAAACAGTCACAAATTCCCGAAGAGCAGTCATAAAGTCACACACCAGTTTGAATCCCGATGACCAGTTACAAACAGCCGCGACTTTCTCTGTGAACGGTCACAGGGTCCACGTCAAAATATTACGACTCAACTGTAGGCATTCACGCGATC